AAGGATCGGATCGAAAAGAATTGCGGCTGCTCATGTGTCGCGCATGTTCGCCTCAGAGTCGGACATCGTGATGCTCCGAACCTGAGCGCGTGTCGCGAGGCGTCGCGTTCCGCACAGCGATCTCCCTCTCTAACACCTCGATAACTGTCTCTTTGTCTATCGATATAATCTCGCGTCTTTGTTAATTCGATCATTACCGTTACCGTTTTGAAGTAATATTCGAATCGTAACCTCTAATTTCGGCTGCTGTCAATATTCTCTACCAGTCGCCGATTCCTCGTCAGAGAATTCGTATGTAAACGCGGTTGCCGAGTCAATCAGGTCATTCTGGATTAAAGTGCAGTGAGTTCTCTGCATTCTGGGTCGAATCGGGTCCTGCCGACTCGCTAACAATTATCGCGTCTTATCGGCGAACTCATTCCGAGAGTTAAGGACAGCGTGCGCCGTATCGAGGGTCGCCGACAATAGTCCATATACTTGGCATCTAAAGGAACACGACTGCATCTCCATCCTCCCAGCTAGGTCTATCGGAGATCTCATTTTCATCAAACGGATGGATTGGGCTTCCAGCATCTCGTCATTGTTCTATCGCCGAGGTACCACGTCATCTTGACGCCCAATGTGACAATTGTTTACCTTTCTTTGTGAGAGCTTTCAAGAAGGCATTAAACATTATTTACAAAAACTGTTCAATCTCCAACAGTCACTCAAATCAAATCGTTCTGGTTCTCTCGTTTCCATTCCTCACGTTTTCTAGTCATCGTCGATATTCCGATCCTCCGTCGCGTTTTCCGCCTCCTACCTCCCGCCTTCGCGATCTTTTCAGAGCGGTCCAGAAATTGTGTTCTCCTCAAGAAAATTCTTTCGCGAATTCTCGCATAAAACAGAAGCGACATCTCTCGGTCGACAGTAAGGTGTGCAAAAAGGTGTGAAACAGGATATTATTACAAATGAGTGCGACAGTAAGATTCGCAGAAAATGTGAAACAAGATACTATTACGAAGGTTATAGAAGTACGCATATTTTGCACATTTGAATATATAAAATCAAGAGTATTTCAACTGTGCATATTTAGTCCAGGCTGCGATGGAAAACTAGCAACAACTTTTTATGGAGGTGGGGAGGAGGAACAGTATATTTTAACCGATGATAGTGATTATAACAGTGATTACGGCTATGACCTCGGAAGAGTTAAAATTCTAAAGATTTCTGAAATTAATAGTATAAATAATCGAACGAAAGCGTGCGGCATATATTTTTATTATACTAGAGACACAGAGCATTACTGCGCACAATGTTTTCTAGAAATCACAAATATAGTGACACAAATATATGCAGAGCGCACACATGTAACAGAACGATACATTGAAATTAGAGGCATCCATTGTTCGAGGTATAGAGAGATTCGGTAGAGAGATTCGGTTCGAGGAGAGATTCAGTATGCCAGATAATACCGACTAATTTGTGTCCAATATGCACTAAGTAAATCTAGTGTGTTTTACTTCGTAAAAGAAATGGAAGATTTTGCGTAAATTGAGAGAGAATTGCGGGAGCATTCGGCTCGACTGAGTTCGTCAGATGAATACGACGCGTGAGTGCAACAGTGTGATGAGTGCCTCGAGTTGTTGGAAGCACATAGCCGGGCTAAACGACCGCGATTATCGATCGGTATTTGACAGGTCAAATTACGGTTTGGTAGACAGTCATTGATTGCTCGAATCGTGCAACTCGAGAGTTTACAAAATACGTTGCGCACACGTTTCGTTCACGCAAGTGTCGAACACAGCACGAAAGACGCAGAATTCGTTTGGCGCGAGAGTAGGTATAGTATAGGGATTCTAACCCAGGTCCTCCGAAGGATACGGGGAGGGTTACGTCACGGGGGTACCGGGGGGGG